CCGGGAGCAGGCCTAAGCCAGCAGGTCGTTATCTCCCGAGGGGTCCCAGACTGCCAGAGGGCACAGGCCGGGCTGGGGGACCCCCCTCCCCACCCCCCCGAGTGCACAAATTTTTGTGCACCGGGTCTCTAGTTCTATATAATAAAAAGGAAATATGCAAATTAACCCTCACACCCTCACAAGATGGTTGCCTACGACCAGGCTGGCAGGGGGGTTAGTGAGGGACGATCAAACGACTGAACAGCAGGCTGCGTGGGGTGACCAGGCCAGCAGAGGGGGGCAGTTGGGGGCAACCAGGCCAACAGTGGGAGCAGTAAGAGGCGACCAGGTCTGCAGGGAGGGGGCAGTTAGGCACGATTAGGCCAGCACACAGAAGCAGTGAGGGGCGATCAGGCCAGCAGGGGGGCGGGCAGTTAGGGGCAACCAGGCAGGCAGGCAGGTGAGTGATTAATGTTTCTCTCTCATTGATGTTTCTAACTCTCTATCCCTCTCCCTTCCTCTCTGTAAAAAATCAATAAAATATATTTTTTAAAAAGAGTAGAACACCCTTAAAAATCTTTGGAGCCCTGTTATTTAACTGAAATGAGGTGGCCAAGTAGGCAGTAAGATTTTTAAAGAATTGCCTAGCTGGTTTGGCTCAGTGGATAGAGCGTCAGCCTGTGAACTGAAAGGTCCCAGGTTCGATTCTGGTCTAGGGTACATACCCGGGTTGTGGGCTCGATCCCCAGTGGGGGACTTGCAGGAGGCAGGTGATCTATGATTCTCTCTCATCATGGATGTTTCTATCTCTCTCTCCCTCTTCCTTCCTCTCTGAAATCAATAAAAATATATTGTTTAAAAAAGATTTTTAAATAATCTTTCCTCTGTCTGAAATGTTTTATGAGCAACAGTCTTAGATCCTTCTAAGGTATTAACAAAGAGTGTAGCCATTCACCCTGGATTTGATCTTTTCCAGAAGCCATTTTCAAATTTAGTAATTGTTTTAGAGAAATAATTTTATTTCAAACCCACAAGTTCTGACCCTTTTATATTCAATGATTTATTATCTCTCTCTCTCTCTCTTTCTCTTTCTCTCTCTCTCTCTCTCTTATTCTCCTCACATTTTATTATAGACAATGACATACAAAACAATTTGGAATATTCTGCCTGGAAATACCTTAGCTAGATCATTGAGTTTATCAGGTACATTTCCTCTTTACCACATTAACCACAAAGAGTTTGTCAAAACATCACCAGAGTTTTGACAAACTCTCTGCCTTCACCTAACTAGGGTCCCCTTTCCTTCATTTTCAATAATATTTTCCTTTAAGGTTTGCTGGCAGCCTCCTTAAGGTGTTCCAGGCTTCCACTAACACTCTACTTGAGACCCTTTGGCTTTCAGTCTCCTTCACACCATTCTGACCCCATCCCACAGTACACAGTTCCAAAGCCATTGCCACAAGTTTAGGTTTTGTTATGGCAACATTCCGCTTATAGGTACCAAAATTAGTAGCAATTACCTATTGATACATACATCACCTTAAAATTTAGTGGCTTAAAGCAACAATAATTATTTATTTTGTTCATGAACCTGTAATTTGGGCAGGGCTTAGCAAGGACAACCTCTCTCATGGGATCATCTGGTATCCCTCTTCCTTCCTCTCTGAAATCAATAAAAATATATTTTTTAAAAAAGATTTTTAAAGAATCTTTCCTCTGTCTGAAATGTTTTATGAGCAACAGTCTTAGATCCTTCTAAGGTATTAACAAAGAGTGTAGCCATTCACCCTGGATTTGATCTTTTCCAGAAGCCATTTTCAAATTTAGTAATTGTTTTAGAGAAATAATTTTATTTCAAACCCACAAGTTCTGACCCTTTTATATTCAATGATTTATTATCTCTCTCTCTCTCTCTTTCTCTTTCTCTCTCTCTCTCTCTCTTATTCTCCTCACATTTTATTATAGACAATGACATACAAAACAATTTGGAATATTCTGCCTGGAAATACCTTAGCTAGATCATTGAGTTTATCAGGTACATTTCCTCTTTACCACATTACCACAGAGAGTTTGTCAAAACATCACCAGAGTTTTGACAAACTCTCTGCCTTCACCTAACTAGGGTCCCCTTTCCTTCATTTTCAATAATATTTTCCTTTAAGGTTTGCTGGCAGCCTCCTTAAGGTGTTCCAGGCTTCCACTAACACTCTACTTGAGACCCTTTGGCTTTCAGTCTCCTTCACACCATTCTGACCCCATCCCACAGTACACAGTTCCAAAGCCATTTCACCTAACTAGGGTCCCCTTTCCTTCATTTTCAATAATATTTTCCTTTAAGGTTTGCTGGCAGCCTCCTTAAGGTGTTCCAGGCTTCCACTAACACTACTTGAGACCCTTTGGCTTTCAGTCTCCTTCACACCATTCTGACCCCATCCCACAGTACACAGTTCCAAAGCCATTGCCACAAGTTTAGGTTTTGTTATGGCAACACTCCACAGGTACCCAAATTAGTAGCAATTACCTATTGATACATGCATAACCTTAAAATTTAGTGGCTTAAAGCAACAATATTTATTTTGTTCATTAACCTGTAATTTGGGCGGGGCTTAGCAAGGACAACCTCTCTCATGGGATCGTCTGGTGTAGCTTGACTGGCAACTGGAGAATCTGCATCAGGATAACTTACTCACATGGTTGGCAGTTTGATGCTGTTCATTGCCTGGGAGTTCAGCCAGGATCAAAGGCTAGAAGTTCCTGTTCTTCTCCACATAGGCCCCTCCTTCCTAAGTACCGTATTTTGGCCTTCCTGACAGCGTGGTGGCTGGGTTCTGAGATTAAGCAACAGGAAAAAAAACAAATAGCAGCGCATGGCATTTTTTATACCCTAATCTTAAGAATCATAGGTAATCACTTCTACCACACTCTATTGTTTGAAGTAGCCAAGAAGTTTCAACCAGTTGAAAGGGGAAGATATATAGACTCTAGCTCTTGATGGGGGAAGTCACAAGGTTTTATAAGAATATGTGGAGCCGAAACCGGTTTGGCTCAGTGGATGGAGCATCAGCCTGCGGACTGAAAGGTCCCTGGTTCAGTTCCGGTCAAGGGCATGTACCTGGGTTGCGGGCACATCCCCAGTGGGAGATGTGCAGGGGGCAGCTGATCGATGTTTCTCTCTCATCTATGTTTCTGGCTCTCTATCTCCCTTCCTCTCTGTGGAAAATCAATAAAATACATATTTAAAAAAAAAAGAATATGTGGAACTATGGTTGGAAAATAAAATCTGTTAAGCTAAGTAAAACAGGATTGCATAAAGAAATTAATATTTAGGGGAATATTTTTATCACTGATGGAGATGCAAAAAGAGAGTCTCAAAAACAATGGGGAGTCATTGGAAGTCTGAGCAATAGAGGCGAAGGGGTGATAGAACCATATTTGCTTGTAGAACAATCACTCTAACAATATGGGGGAATATGGACTTCAGATAGACTACTATAGGAGGAAGACCTCGTTGGAAAATAGTGCCATAGCTGAGATAAGTAAGAGGGCCTGAACTAAGATATTAGCAGTGAAGATTATTAGATATGAAGGAATTAAACTACCCGGACTTGGTGGAAAGCAGCAAGGTACCTGGCATACAAAAGACAATAAAGATTTGTTAAGCAGAACTGGAAGTTTGGTAGGGCTCTTACTTAGCTATTTCAACAAGGGGGAAATGTAAAACATAATCTAAAATGGCTGTTTCAAATGACATAAGCTTTGCATATAATATTCCCTTGAAAGGAAAGAAATGACATGGCACAATCTATAAATGTATTTTTATGTGCTTAAAATATATGTTTTAAAAAAACCACCTTAAATATATAAAACTGTTTACATATTTCTTCTCAAGGAGAAGTCAAGTACATATTTTAAAAACTACCCAACCACTAAACCAGAGGCTTATTATGAATACTATGAAGTTTTTTAATAGTCACTCTTAGAGATCAACAACATCATTAATTGGAAGTCTTTTTAATTTTTTTACAGAAATAGCTATGAAGTTTTGTACCAATAACTAAAAAAAATAAAAAATAAAAAATAGGTGGGCTGAAAAGAAACACCTTCAGTATATGGGATGTTTTTCTAGCATTGTACCAGAATGTGTTGGAGATGTCTAAATGTTCCTTGTTTAAAGAAGAAACCAGGAAGTTGGCAGTGGCCATCACCTCTTGCCTGTAATGAGATATCAAGGTCATGAAATACTGATGTCCACACTTCCTGATCATCAGTCTCTAAGATATACAAGTCGTGGTTAAGTGCTATTTCCTTAGCAACCCTCATGACCCAGAGCTGTAAATCCTTCCCACTAGAGAGAAGATGCTGACCGTCCCATTGTAGTGCCTTAAGATAATGTTGTACAGATTATTTGCAGTTTTTACCAGTTGAGTATTTATTTAACTTTAGATTGTTTTTCAGAATCATATTAACTTGAAAATCATCTGGCTGACACAAATCAATTAGATCTCTAGTATTCTGCATGGAAGAACCTCTCAGAAGTAAATAATTATAACATACTCTGTATATAGTACATTTTATTTGTAATACTTCAATGTTGATATTAAATTGACTTAATTTATTAGCCAGTTTTTCTCAACTTCTGTTAACCCATACCCCACCAGTTCATATGATTTGAAAAGGCTGTGCTTTCTGTAGTTTATATTTTAAAGGAATATTTCTCCAATTGTAAAATTATGAAACTGAATAAAAAGAACACACTCATCCATTCTGCGTGTACACACACACACACACACACACACACACACACACACACACACATATTCTGATAATTGCCCTTGCCCAACTGAGAATCTCTATGCTTAGAGGGTTTTTCAAAACTCAGCTTAGTTGTTCATTATTTTTAAAAATGAGAATCAAAGAAAAAGACACAGGAGAATAATGCTAAGAGAATATTATTGTCAAGGACATTGTTATTAAAAAATAATAAGGGGTTACAAGTAGCCAAAACTAAGGATTCCCGTTTTGTGAAGCTCCAAATCCTTTAAGTAAACAATACAGAGTAATGCATCTATCTAATCATTGCCAATTATCCTGATTAACCTTTTATTGTGGTGCCAATTAAATATGTTCTTTAAAATACTAGAAAAGATAAATTTCTGACAAATGTATCTAACATTGAACTTTTCTGAATTAAATAAAGCTAAGTTTTAGGCAGAACAAATCACATAATTTTGATAGTGGTTTATTTAACCTCAGGCTGGAATTATGACTGTATTTTCACTTAGATTTGACTCAGATAATCAATATTTTCTTGATATTTTAATTCATTGCTATTATATTTGCTTTGTCATCTATTATTATCATTATCACTACCTCTTGCTGATAGCTCATATTTATTGAGCTCTTCCCAAATGCTACGCAGTATGCTAAATGTCCTTATTACACCTTATTAATCTCCCCACTGAACCAGAGTAGGTGCTATTGTTATTTTCAGGAGAGTAAGGCTAAAACAAGTAAGAAAGCAGCAAAGCTAAGCCTGGATCTGAGGCTTATCTGCTTCTAGATTGGACCTCTTAATGTTTACATTCTTCCACTGCCTTCAGTTATATATGCTTTAGCAATATTTTTTTGTAAAAAGACATGAACATAGATGTCTCTGGTTTTTAGCAAATTCAGTAGAGACTCAAACGTACAGGTTGGGTCACATACAGAACTGACTTGTTCTGTACAATCTAACAGCATTCACAGTAGAATGACATTTAAAGGGACATTTGTTGGGAAAATGTGGTATTTTTATCCAGCTCTATCGGATACTGTGATGTACAGATTTGAGGAAGAAAGCAATGTGCTCAGAGCAGAAAATTGGGGTTTAAGAAATCTCTCCAGAAGGAAATAATTTCTAGGTTTTGAAGAAATAGAGATAAGAAAAGGAAAAGCAGAACAGAAATGCTGAAATTGAGAACACACAATAAAAGAAATCCATATCACTCTACAAGTACCTGTGGTTGGGATTTTTCCATTATAGAAATATTTCCTCACCAGAAAATTTCTATTCAGGTTATTACTGATTCCCCCACTGCCTTCTCCTCTTTTCCCTTTATTTTTGTTATTAATTGGAAAGTATTAAGTACTTTAAAGAAAGTTGCTTTGCTGCCAGCTTTGCTATAATTCAGATGATCCATAAACCAAGACATGTTGTAAATGGATGGTTATCAGTTTCTCTGATGTCCCACATTGAGTTCCAGCCTGTTGTTTTTATAAAGCCAAGCACTTGGATTTAGGGGCGGCG